GCTATGCTGATGACGTCAGCTGGTACTTCGCTAAGTCGGCATCGGGCATTGATGATTCCCACATATATTAATATAATGTTGTATTGAAACATTTAGATTTTTTAATTTTAAATTGAATTTTTGGGCCAAAAGTGTGTGTAGTAATAATAATAAACCCTGAAATTAATATGTTAGCTGCAGTAAGGCTTTTCTATGATAAATTAAATCATCAGCTTTAAAAAAAATATATCTTTTCCTTTGCAGATTTTATACATTTTAGCTGAAATAACTTTTAGATCATAAATTAAATCATTAACTATAACAGTTTTACAGCAGAAAGATTATACACAGTTACACTCACATAGTTTCTAATAGGCATTTTTTCACAGAGCACTTACACAGTTTCCTACTCACATTTTAATTTTTGATAATTTCTTGTTAAAGCAGCCACCACTTAAGCCTTTTTTGACATTTGAAATTTGCAATTTAAATATTTGCTAATTTAGTCTAAAGGCCTTTTAACAAGGGACTGCCTAATTTTCTGATACATGCTTGCTTATGTTTTGTGTGTTAGTATGTGTGCTATTTGTGTACCTGAAGTGATGAAGATGAACAGAAGACAACAATACTGTTAAATCTTTTTAAAATGCTTCTGACGAATTTAGTTGTTACCACTGTTGCTGAATAATTAAACTGAATGCATAATCAACTGTTGTTTTAAAAAGTGGTAGATAACATTACAATAATCTCCATATTATCCTCATAATTTCAGCAGCAGTCCAAAAAATGAATTTAATATTTTAATTTTTGGCACAAAAATCGCCCCTACACAAGCCAAAATAACAAGTCAAAGAATTGCACAAACTCTGTATCCATGTGCCACCAAAAATTGCCAAGGGGTACCCTTAAATATACTTTTACTGGCAACTAACTTTCAAAGCTTTTCACATGAAGCAATAAAACCTTTCAGCACTTGTTTACTATTTTTTAACTCCGATAATTTCGCCTTAAAATATTCTTCAGATTTATTGTTTGCATTGGTATGCTTAGATTCTTGATGTCTTTTAAGAAGCGATGGTTTCATACTTTGATTGGATAATAGTAGTTCATCGCAAACGACACTTCGAGGTTGAGGGTCCATATTGCAAGTAAACCCAAATGATAAATATAAAAATATAATGAAAGTTATTTACTTTCATTATATTTTCTATAAGCAGATTTCTTTTCAATATGCTTAGTGCTAGTACATTGTCCTGGATCTATCAGTTGTGAATAATACCTTTTCCGCTTAATCAATCCCAGCCACTTTTCCATTCTAAAAATCTAGGTTTGTTTTATTGTTTTTTTACAAATAGTTAAATGCATAATATATTACGAGTTTTTCAAAAACAAACGACGATATTCTTAAATCATGCAGAGAAGTAAGAAATACAAAGCAACACGAAGACAAAATACTCACTCTTAGAGACAGCAAACCAATGTAAAAAAAGATTCTAATTAAAAATAGCCTGTAAATGGTGGCAATATAAAGTATAGGCATCCTTATAAATCAATAAACTCTAAAAGAATTAATGAGATACTATTATCTTTTGATAGGAACTTATTTTTATTTCTTATTAAGTACAACATCTATTTCTATTACTCCTTTCAAAAATATCATTTATGACAATTTTTTTTATGTGTATGGCTAAAATAATAGTTTCGAAAATAGAAACAGATTATTTTGCGAGCGGCTATTGATCTTGAACAAAGCTCGGATCACATAAATTTAGGAATGTTAGAGGAAAAAACTTAAAAAGAATGTTGGGGTGTTTAATTTTTTAATTTAACAGTTAAATATACTTTGTTTCTTTGTGTACCACCAGTTGAGAACCGCTGTTCTAAGCTATAACAATCCATTTTGAATCCTTACAAACTGAAATCAAACACTGCATTGTATAAATACACTTATATATTCACTTCAAACAAAACCTTTATTCACTATCAGATGACATAATGCCTTGATTTGCTTAACAAAAACTGTTTGATCACTTTTGAATGAGTTTATTTTTGAGGCAAGTAAATTAGGTGCTCAATTTTAGAGGAGTGGAACTTTAATGATGCTCTTATGCATAAATGCTTATGATATTTAAGCATAAATGTATAATTTATATATAATTTAAATGTATAATAAATATACATTTATGCTTAAATATCATAAGCATTTATGCATAAATGATTCTTAAAATCTCTTAACATGTATGAAGAGGGCATGAAATTCCAGAAGAATAGTTTAACTGATTATTTATGATAGTGAGCAGTTAGCTGGATAGAAATGGCTCTGTTGCATGTGGAACAATGCAGACAGTGAAATATTAATTGTAAAACTGTTGACAGATTATGTAATTGGATCCTTAGTGAATCCTGCTGTTACAGAAACACCAGTTTCATGTCCAATGGCGAATCTACTGGGACATGAAAATCATTTTGGAATAAATGTTTGGGTTGGTGGCATTCTGGGACATCACGTCATTAGACTTTATTGTTGCATTTTTCATCTGGCTGGTGGTAACTGCTTTCTGGCTCAATGTGAACTTCATTGTGGATTCCAGCATGATGAGGCCTATACTCATTTCAGCAGTAATGCTGTAACTACATAGATGTTATATTTGACCAACTATAGAATAAACCAACTATAGAAACAACTATAGAATGAGTGTGATGGTAAGTGCATTAGCCTGTTCGATTATTGAGATTTTCATGCCTTTGAATACTTTGCATATGCATATGAAAACTGGTGTATGACATCTTTATTGACAGTGCTAAGAACTGCACAAATAATAGTAGCTGCCAGGGTAGTCTGAAACAAGGTCAGGATCTTCTATAATATTCATAATTTCATGCCTCGAAGATGTTGAGGCTAGCGTTTACTGCTCTCAGAAAATGCTTTGACCTCAGTTACTTTGCAAATGTACAGTTTTATTAAAAGGCATATTTACTTATGTTGTGTTCTTTCATTTCTGGTGTTTTCTATGTACACTACAACATATTTGTCATTTCCAGCTTGTAGCATTACATTGTTATTAGTCATCTGAGTATACCCTATCCCTCTTACAAGTTTGTAACTCACATATTAAGTCATGTTGTGTTTTGTGATTACCTAAAAGTAATGGTGTAAATATAAATTTTCAAATAAGCAATATATTGTAGTAATTACATATTTCAAATATTCATATACAACAACAACAAAAAAAAAAAGCAATAGGTTGGTTAGGCTAGTAAGTTATGACACAGCAGATCTGGAAAATCTGCCTGTGAAAGGGATTTTCATGAGATATTACTCTTTACATTATACATGGAAAAAATGAAGCTTTGCAGTTACCTCAGAACAGAACCTAGGACATACTGCCTGCATTTCATATCTTGAGCTACGCTGTTGCAGATGAGCAATGGAAACATTAAGAATATCAGGATTTGTAAACTATATGATGAAAATGCTCAATGTGTTAATCTGATAAATTTATACTTGTCCTTACAGAATATTATTTATTCTTTACTTTGCTGATTGCAAATCTGCATTTTAAAAGTGTTAAAATTAATATTTTTGAGATGACAGAACTCTGTTGTAAAGAAAGTTATAAGTCTCTGTTGCAAGTCAAATGCATAGAAATTCTGTGTCTATAACTGCAAAAAATGGCATACAATAAAACCTTGATCTGTAATTCCCACATTTTCACTTATATCATTTGCTGTTTCTAGTCCTGAAGGAAATTTTGTATAAGTAACATTATTTAATTGCACATCCATTGTTCCTTGAATTATAATTTTCCTGTCTTAATTGTTGAATTCTTATTTCTAATTCAATGTTTCACACATAGATAATTAAAAAGAAAGAAAAAAAAATGTCCCCCTCTCTTGAAGCTAATTATATGCATTACCTTCTGTTTGGCTTATAAATCTGATGACACAATGATTCAGTAATTCCATTCATGTGGTTTCATATCTGTATTATTACCATCATTTTTTAAAATTATGTCACTGCAGAATGTAATAAGTTAATTTTTATCAATTTAGATTAGTTTATTTCTATAATTTTAAGGAGTTTCATGATCAGTTTTCAATTTGAGTTTTTGTGGAGTAGGGAGAGAAAAAATGAAGTAAAGGTGCTGAGCTTCATCAGGATTTAACAAAGCTTTACAAAAAGTAATTTTCTGTGAGCAAAATGGAAGTGATGCAGGCCATGAAAACATCTTAAATCATTTTCAGTTGAGGCAGAATTTAGCCAAGGAGCAAAGAATAATGTATAACATTTTTGTTAAAATCTTTTAATGTACATATGTTGAACATTACAAATGTAATTTATTATTAATATGTTACATCTTTACACTGTGTAAAAATGTTCTGGTTTAATCATTTTCCTTCAATCACTATCCCCACTTATATACCTCATATTATTCAAAAAGAACAAATCTAGTTTTCGCTGTGCATTAAATTCTAACTTTTGATAAATAACAAAGTGTGAAGATACAAGGATATGAAGGTAGCAATAATGGTTGTATTAATTTGTAATTAAATGGTGCTTTTTAAATATTACATTAAATGGTTATTTTTAATTGGCAATTTGGAAAAGACTGAAGTGTGGTGTCATTTATTTTCGTGGAGGATTTCTGTAGATAATTTTAAATATTGTATATAATTTGCTTAAATATATAATTTACTTAAAACAGGTACTGGTCATTTAAAAAGTCACATTAAGCATCTAAAATATCCATTATCAAAATATTAAATATATTCATGAGCAAAATAATTTTAGTGCTCTATGGACTACTAACATGTAAATAACATTTCATGTTTCATCGGCAAGGATTAGTTCAGCATGGAACATATTTATGCATGAAAACAAAGATGAAATTTTAATTAATTTTATATGCTAGTAGTCCCAAAATGAACATTTTTAAAGCAAATATTTTATTTCTAAAGAATATTTTAAGGCATTTTCTTAGCAATTCTCCAAATTATACTGTAATGAAAAATTTTTTCAGGTGCTAAAGTTTATTTGGAACATGATGTTGTTGAAATTAACCTAAAGAAAGATAAGAAGTTATGGGAAGTTAAATCAAGTAATGGTGTTGTCAAAGAGTTTGATGCTGTTATATTAACTATCCCAGTTCCTCAAATTTTGATGCTAAATGGAGATTTCTTCACTAAATGTAAGTTTTACCATATATTTATTGGAATAAACTGAGTATTTAAAAGCTGTTTTTGCTGTTAAAATTAACTGTATGCTATGGTAGAATTTTATTAATAAATCCAATACATGTTTTACATGATTTTATGCACGGCTTTCATTATAAGAAATTTCAAACTTAAAAGGATGATATTTGATTACATTAAAGAACATGCTATTTTCTCGGAGCTGTAATATTTAATCCAGTACACATTCACAAATTTAGCATAACTAATCAATAGATAAGGAAGTTAGTTATAGGAGGGAGTCCAAACAGTTTTTTGAAAATGGACATTTATTGCTTAAAGATGAATCAGTTTTTCTTGTAATTTGACAAATTAAAAAAACTTGAGAAGCCAGATGAATAAGTATGACAAAAATAAAAGTGTACTTAGAGATTTTAAACATAGTCAATTCAGAATTGAAAGTCATTAAGGGGCTATAATATTAAGCAAAATTTGGTCTTAAGATGTAGTTATTTCACAGAAAAAAATCTGTGTAAAACAAGAGAGTATGAGAAGAACATTGAAAAGTTGTGTTTTCTGTAATTGATATAAATCCTAGCTTTGTTTTAAAATATGTAGTTGAATTTTTAATAAATAAGCCATAAAATATCTTATTACTTCTTTCCAGAAAAATGATTTGTTAAAAGAAAGAATTAAAAATTTTAGCTGTATTTCAAAAGTATAAAATCATGCAATGTATGTATATTCTCAATATGCAATATTATACTAAAAAATATGTCCTTGAAACCTGTAGTAATTCAGTAGCTGCTTGGGCATGAAAATATGCTGTAGTTCTTTTAAACATTTTGTTAAAATCTCCAGTTACTATTGTAGGAATAAAGTGAGTCATTATTAAAATTTGTTTAATTTTTTCTGCTGAATTTACATTATTTAACAAATTACAATCATGCTTAACACACTTTTTTATATATATAATTATGATTATTTTGTATGTTAAATCATACAAAAGAAATCTGAGAAATCTTTCTTCATGGAAAACTTTCCAAGAATGCTGACATAATATATTCCAGGGTATAGCACACACCAGTGTATAATGTGCATCTATAATTTCAAGTTACATTTTTTTAAAAGGGCCCACCAGCGGCCGAGCGGTAAAGTCACTGAACACTGGTAGTTCGGTCCAAGGTTCGAATCTCACGGACGGGCTGGCTGCATGGGCATTTTCATGGTTTTTCCCATGTATAACGTGTATACGAGTCAGTTCCCCTTAGAAAGTACTCCACGAAGGCATCCCTCCCCTTAGGCAGGTAGCCCTCGAGGCTTTGCCATAATCAAACACACACATACATTTTTTAAAAAAAATTTTAGGCACACTGTATAATGCACACCCTTTTCTTTATGAAGAAACCTGAAAGATAAATGTGCGATGCTCTTATCTTTTGAAGACATTCATTTGAGGATTTTTCCTAGGCTTTCGAACAATGATATACTGAATTGACAACCAGTGCTAGAGCGTTACTCCCATTGTGTATAAGGGAAATACATACATTGACAAACGATAAGGGGAAATACATGTGTGTGAGCTAAATGCTTGAAGGAGTAAATAATTTTGAAAAGAGAGTGGGTTGTATTCAATGTAGCTGTGCAAAGGAATGTTTTCCTAGAGTTTCAAAAACAGGAGGACATAGTTTGAGCGTAAGAATGCACTTACGTAAATGAATTCACAGAATTAGGTTCAGATGTTTTCTCTTTCTGTAGTCTTTTGAAGTGAACATCAAAGGCTTTAGTAAATTGCATCGAGAAGTATGTTATTGTACTATAAAGGCCAAAAAATTATTTACTGTCACATATTAGAAATATGGATGAAACTCCATTAATGTTTGATATAATAGGACATAAAAATAATTGATGTGAAAGAGATAAAAACTGTTAATATAAAAATAACAGGTCACAAAAATCTCGCCACACGGTAATGATTTCCTGACCAATGGGAGTGCAAAATTTAAGCCCGTGATTATTTTTAAAAGAAAGACGATGCCGAAATGTAATTTCCCAAATTAATTTTTTCATTTATGTCCATGAGAAATGGATGGATAAAAGCAGTGTGAAATTATATAGAAGACATGTTTGGTAAAAGCATCGTGTTGCCATTAAGAATCCAGAAAGTCTTTTAGTTTGGCATGTTCAGATTCCATCTTATAAATAATATGAAGAAATTTTTCAAAAAGTGTGATACAGACATGGCAGTTATTCCAGGCAAATTAATATCATTAGTTCAACCTTTAGATGTGTGTATCAATAAACATTTGAAAAAAATTTAAAAAGGCAGTGGAATACATGAATGTTAGAAGGTGAAATAACATTTTCAAAAGGAGGGAAAATGCTTCAAGCCAGTCTAGAAATAATGTGTGAATAGATAATAAAAGCATGGAATGAAATTAAACCTTATGTAATTTAAAAAATGTAGTATATCTAATAATCTAGATGGAACGGAAGATGATTGTTTATGGATCAGAGTAACGGTGAAGATGAAACAGAATTCAGTGATGTACCTGAAGATATAATGGAAGATGAATATGAGGAAATTTCATGTTATGTGATAATGAAAATTTTTATGTTCAAAAGGTATGTCATTTTGTTTAAATAAACAGCATTTAAGTACATGTAGAAATCTAATTTTTGTATGTTCATCTTTATACATTTTTAAATTTATTATTTTTGCATCCATCGTATAATGAGCACCCATAAATTTCGATGCTATTTTTTGTATTAAAAGTTTGTGCTAGAATATATGGTACATTTGTGTAAAATATGGAAAGAACTGTAAAATCTTTTATTCAACGAGGTTATTCTGAAGGAAATTTTATTTTGGAAAAAAAAAAAAAAGCTGTTATATAATGTTTTATTTATTTTGTTCTAATGTATATCTGTTAATTTTTATTTAAACAAAAGATATTTTTCCTGCGCTAATCTTCGTGAAGCAATATACATAACAGTAAAAATGTTTAAAAAATTCAGTGATTTTTGATTTATTAACTTTTAACTATATGTTTTCCTCTTTTTGTAGACCTAGATGATGACATGAAAATGGCCATGGAGCAAGTTAAATATTCCTCTCGTTATTCAGTTGCCCTTATGTATAATGATGGTGTTGGAGAATTGCCTTGGTCTATGAAATATTTCCCAGAAGATGAAATAATTTGCTTTGCTGCCGTAGATAACCTGAAAAGAGGTACTTTCTGGTTATAGATTTGATGCAGTATAATGCCATTACTATAATAATGGTGGTAGTTCATCCTAGGTTTGGTTCTTTGTGTATTTAAATGGGCTGGTTGCATTGGGATTTTGTGGATTTTTTTTTGTGTGTAGCATAAACATAAGCCACTTTCCCTTAAAAAGCATCCTTTTAAGGCAGACAGCCCATGACTTCTAACCAGAGCCATAATATTTCTATAAAATTATGTTAACCCATGTATATATGTGAATTTTTTAACATTAGTAAATAGTATTGAATTTCAGAATATTATTACGTGATTATTAAATTTTAAGTGTAATTTTTTTACTTTTATAATTTCAAACTTTACATTAAAATATTTATTTATTCATTAAACTATTTCTGAATTAATAAGTATTTGCTAATCTTATCATGAGGCATATTTAGATATAACTGAGTATTTGATAAAGTAATGTATAACTCATTATTTGATAAAATTTGCCTTTTTTTTAAATTGCATTTTATGCATAGTTAAAAAAAACTACTCATTTTATTATATATGGCTTATAATTCATAATATTATATTAAACCATTTGTAAGATCTGTCTCTTGTATTCCGCATAAACTAACTAGATCCTACAGTGAACCTGGCGAATTCTCACACAAGCGTAAATGAATTACCAGCACAGAAGAAGGGTGAAAAAAACCCTCTATTTAATTCCAGCAATTAACAGAAAGGCCCAATCTTCGTGTTTTACAAAAATGCTGTCAACTTGGGGTGATAGAATATAAATCAATTCAAATCTAAAAAAGAATAGGGCTGGACTGGCATGTTAAGTTACTTTTACTTAGGTTGACTTAGCAAAGGCTAACAGGCGTGACAATAATAATAAATGGCCAAGAGGTGTACTAGCGAAACATCGAGGTAGCAACGAAACGTGCGCTGACTACCGAAACCACATTGTGAATAAGCTCAGATATTCACCTATTTAAAACTCACTTCACTTAACTTTCAATTTACATCCTGCCAAGAAAATGCAAGGGGAAGTTGAGGAGGTCAGGAAAGGTATCAAACTAAATAAATTTGTTATGCAAAATAAGGGAAACCCTACACTTTTTATTATATTAGGCCTATAATTTGAATAGTATTTCTGGTGCTGATAAGTGAATATCATAGCTGCCAATTTCGCTGATTTTATTCGGAGAAGTAGTAAAAATTACATTTTTAATTTTTAACTTTCACTAAGGAAAATATTCCCAGTAATAAAAAAAAAAAAAAATATTAAACTAATGAAATTTAAATAGTGCAGTTCCATTGCCCTATACTTAATTATTTTCAATATAATTTTTCTTATTAAATTTTATTAGATCTCAATTGATCTACTGTAGACTTTTCTAGTAATTTATAGGAAGATTCACCCAATATTTATTTAGTTAATTAATATTTGTATTTGTTTTAAATCAATAAATAATACATTACTAAGTTCCACATAATAGTATGTTCATTAAATTTTATTTTCATCACATTTAAAAGTACTTTGATTAAGCTTTTCTTTCCTAATCTGGATTTTCTCAGTATGAAAGTATAAGAAAACTACAAAATGAAATTAGCCAAACAACACAAAATTAAGAATTTCTATTTAAATGTTAATATATAATTACATTATTTGTATTATTTATATTTTATAATATTTTTAATTTGTTCAGCAGTCTGAATCATGCATTATAAAAGAATTTAAGTCAGTTTGGAGTTCTTTTGGAATTGCACCATTGTGTACTGCAATTATGAATATAATTCTAATAATTGAGCATACGTTGATACATATGAAAAGAATTTTCCTAACCTTATATATCTGCTTGAAAGTTCTGTTACAGAAATATGTACTTAAAGGGAATTTGAATATTTGGGAACAAGATAATGCAATGTTACAGGTTAGCAGAGGATTAAGAAAAATGAGCTGCAAAAAGGTAAATTATAAAAGTTGCAAGCAAATAATAATAAAAATGTCAAACAGTAAATTAATGAAATAAAACTGTAAACGTCGTACAGTTAAAAAAATATCAAACATAATGAAGTACCAAATTCCGAAATGCAATAACAGTAAATAAGTAATGGCTGAGGTATTCTTTAATGAACTTAATAGTTTCTGATGTGTTAGATGTGCATATAAATTGAAATACCTGTATAACTAAAGAGAAATTGAATGTGTAACTTAAATTTCCTAAATAGACTTTAGCAGTTTTATGCACAAGAAGTAAGCAGCCTTAAGCCAATTGCAGTGCTATCATTTATCACTAAATTATTGGTAGTCTCCTTGATAGATGGCTTTCCACTTCTGAAATTTTTGCCAATATGGCTGCAGAATTTGATCCATCCTATGAAAATTTAGTTTTTGCATAATGGTGGATCACATACAGTTTTCATCTTTGGCGAAATCTTGGATTTAGGTCTCTACATAGAGTACAATGTGGCTTTCTTAAAGGCACCATTTTTTTTTTTTTCCCTTTTCATTTCAGGATTTTGGTGCCAAAATTGTGTGCAGTGTCATGTTTGTGGAACTCTCTCTTTTGTTTAGTGGAAACAGAAACTCTCTTTTGTTTAGTGCTGTGCACATGGGCAGAAGAACTGCTCAAAGAAACAATATATGCAAAAAAGTATGTATGCAAAAAAGAACAAAATAAAAAAAAAAAAAAAAAAAAAAAAAAAAAAATAGGCAACACTGAATGCATGGTTAGACTTTTGCAATTTTCTGCATAAGAAGTCTGCAGTCTCAAGCGAGTTGCAATGTCATTATTTACCACTATTTATTAATATAAAATTGAAGACATAAAAACTGGATTTCTAACACTCATTGTGTGTATCTTACAAAGATAGTAGACGATTAAGCTGGTTTCTTATTGATTAGATAGATTCTTCTCATCTCAGATGATGTAGTTGAGTCATTAAAGCTATAAAATATGCATGCATTGTGCTGATCCTATTTCAAATGACATGTTAGCTTATAGGAAATGATATAATGTCCGAATTTGAATGCTGTCACAGGTTTCATTAATTTCTGAGTGCTAGATGTAGACGATGTCTTGGGTAATCAGCCCTATTGTCTTCCATAACAATGTGCTGTCTAGGAAAATAGCATTGGGAAATACTAGAATTCCTGCTATATTTATCCAACATGTGGCTATGATCTCTTTACCAAAAGTCTCTATGAAGGTATCCATAATAAAATTATAGTAGAATGTAGGTTTTCTGGGCTTTAGAACAGTTGCTATTAAGCATCAACAAAAGTGGATGTCTGATGGTGAACTTTATGTTCCAATAATTTGGCATACACATAGCAAGTAATTATATTGAGAAACTATCTATACAGTAATAAGTCTTTTCAGATTTTAGTGTCCTAACAAACATATAAACGTAACAGTAATTTTTAGTGGCATAAATTATGCTATGTTTGAAATTATAAATACCAAAAGAAAAATTGTAATTTGTTAAAGCTTTAAACTGTGTAACTGTAAATAAATAAAACTGGAATTTGCAGTTAATAAAAAAATATTTATTCCTTTTTTAAATATTTTCTTAATTTATGATTATTTGAAATTAAAGATTTTTCTCCTAAAATCGTTTGTATAGTTGTTTGTATAGTCGTTGAACGGCAGGAAAATCTTACCTATTGGAAAGTTGGAAAGGCGGTAAGGGGTCATTTTAACCCTTCGATGAAAGTACTGAAATGACAATGGTAAAACAATTTTAAATGCCATACATTGACACAAATATGTACTTTATATGCATTTCATAATTTATGATAATTTTATTTATTGATAATTTATTGACTTTTTAAAATACTGTAAATGTATCGAGTACATGGCGATCAATTGGAACATACTACAATTACTCAAATAATTCATTAATTTGATATAAGAATTGATTTCAAATAAATGGTTTCACAAATTAAAACTAATATTAACTAAAATAAAACACAATTTATATAATAATAATTTTTTATGTACTTAATCGAAGGATGATTCACTCTTTAAATCCAGAAATGAGAAATATTTCACTTATATCATTATATGTGTAGCTGAATGGAATATGTAAAGCATTTCGTTTCAATTCTATTTAATGTTTAAAATATTAGAGATTATACATGCATATTAAGAATTAATGCAGTTGATACAAAAATAATTTTTAAAAATTTTTCCAGTGCATTTTCCGCATACACCTTTGGAACAAGATGCACAATATTCTTGAGATTTGTTTCCATTGCATCTCTGTACTTGACACTTTTTTCTCTTTATATCCATTTTCTTTTCGTGTGTTTTTTCTGTAGACTCAGGATGGATCTTTGAGAGTTTTGAAGCCATATGTACCACTCTTAACTCCTCTACTAATATTCAGTAGAAAATCTCTCTTGTTAATGGTGTTTTCTATTACACTTTTATAAATTATCCAGGCATTCAAAGCTGCATGATCCAAAATATTGAAAAAGATATGTACAAGCCATCATCTAGAAGTCGATTTAACTGAATATTTTCGGCGCATCCGATCACAAATATCTACACCATACTTTGTTGCATTGTAAAATGCTATTGAATCGGGCAACTTCTTGAGACTGTCTTCAGTTTTTACTGTAGAATGTAATGAGCTCAGTAGAAAAACGCTTTTGTTTCTTTTGCCTTGATAGATGGTAAATGTGATATTATTATGTTCCACTATTGTGGATGAATAAAGATTACTACTCATATTTTTCAAAAATATAGGAATTTCTCTTCTGTTCTTTTTCATTGTGCCGACCATAGTTGTATTTTTTTATTTTAGCATTTTTACTAATTTAATGCTAGTAAAATAGTTATCCATGGTAATATTCCTCCCTTTGTTTAGATGTGGCTCCGTTAATTATATGACAACATTTTCAGAGAAATGTAATTGAGGATTTGCTGGTTCATCTTTTCCTAGATGAGGAAATCCATTCAAGAGGAATTTAATATCAACATCGACAGATAACCAAAATTTTATTACAAAT